GAGCAGGGAGCCCGATGCGGGGCTCGATCCAGGGACTCCAGGATCATGACCTGAGCCGAAGGCAGACGCTTAACGACTGAGTCACCCAGGCGCCCCTTCCTTCTTTTTTTTTTTTTATGGCTGAATCCTATTCCATTGTGTGTATGTAAATAGCACATTTTTGTAATTCATAAATTTGATGGTCACTTAGGTTGTGTCTAGTCATCTTGGCTACTGTGACTAATGCTGCCCCCTCTCTCTTTTCCTCCTGAGGAAATTTTTATTTTTTTGTGAAATGAATGTAGACGTCACCAGTTTTGCACCCCATTGTGAAATAATTGTTTCATACAGTCACTAATGGTACTGCAATCAGGTGAAAGATTGATCGGTAAAGGATATTTGCATGGTACCAAAGTATTACCTCAGCAACTTCATTTATTTTTTTTTTTGTCATTTCAAAGGGGAAATCTAGCTTTATAAAGTAGAAGTCTGACTGTCATCACCTTTAATCAAGCTACCAAATGGGCTAGCACAATCAGCATCTGTTATATGCCTCCTGCTGAGATCTCAATATGAAGTAAAGTTGTTCTTTCTTTCTTTTTTTTTTTTAAAGATTTTATTTATTTATTTGACAGAGAGACAGCGAGAGAGGGAACACAAGCAGGGGGAGCGGGAGAGGGAGAAGCAGGCTTCTTGCGGAGCAGGGAGACCGATGCGGGGCTTAATCCCAGGACCCTGGGATCATGACCTGAGCCGAAGGCAGATGCTTAATGACTGAGCCACCCAGGTGCCCCAAGTTGTTCATTGTTAATCTAATCAGTCCTTTGGGCCAAACTTCAGGTTTACAGGGAGTGCAGAGAACAGGAGAACAAGTTAAATAACACCATGAAGGAAACAGTCAAATAAATGCAAAGTGTGAGACACTCTATAAGTCAGCTGGTCTTTTCACTTGGAAAAGTCTGTGTGGTGGAGGTGCTGATCTAAAATCAAGCAGTCTGGCTGGCTGAGTCAGGAGAATATGCAACTGTTAATCTCAGGGTTGTGAGTTCGAACCCCCACGTTGGGTGTAGAGATGACTTAAATTAAAAAAAACATTAAAAAAAAATAAAATCAAGGAGTCCAAAGAGACATAATTCTCTCCTAATTTTTAACTAAAGTGACGTATGCACATAATGAAAGTGAGGGAATTGAAAACCTTGTAATTGATAAACAGCTGTTTGCTGCCCCACCTTCCCCGTGCTTGAATACCTGTCTCCTCACAGGAAACACTTGCATAGAGCATGTTTTCCTTCAGCTCATGTTGTGACTGCAGTTTTACATGATTATTGACTTCCTTTTGAAGTCTCTGATGACGTCTACCATCTCCCATACCTACTTCTACCATTTTTTCAGTGTAGTTAAGGTAATTTTCATCATTATGTTGTGTAAATATTGTTTCTACAGAGCTGGGTATGATTATATTTCTTTTGTATGCAACTTTTTGTTTTTCCCAGATTTTTTTTTTTCCTTTTTTGGAAATTTCCTTTTCCTGTTTTGTTGTTTTATTTGTTTCCATTTATCTCCTTCTCTCTTCTGACGGAAATGGAAAACTCTTTTCTGTGGTCAGACATATCTCAGTCCCTTCCCTTTTTTCCCCATCTTCTCTCCCTCTCTACCTTTTGGAACATCCTTCTTGGAATTGTCTTTTCTCTTGCTTTGATGTGGGTTAATTGTCCCATATTCTGCACAACTGCCATCCTGAGACTTTGGTTTGCCTCTCTCTTGTGTTACATATTGCATTTCTGGAATTTCTTTTCTCCTTTGTTCACTTATTCTCTCATTTTTTTTTTTTTAAAGACTTTATTTACTTATTTGACAGAGAGAGACACAGCGAGAGAGGGAACACAAGCAGGGGGAATGGGAGAGGGAGAAGCAGGCTTCCCGTGGAGCAGGGACCCCGATGTGGGGCTTGATCCCAGGACCCCGGGATCATGACCTGAGCTGAAGGCAGACGCCCAACGACTGAGCCACCTAGGCGCCCCTTATTCTCTCATTTTGATGGAACACAATCTTAATAGCTTCATGTCAAAGATTACATGGAGGCATTTTTATTTTAAGACTGTCCCATGTCAGAAAGACACCAGAATTGCTCCCTTGAACTTGATAGAAACCTTGGCTATGTATGCAGTTCTAGGTTTATAATCATCTTTTCCTTGTGAGTTTTGAAGGCATCAGTCTTGTCCTCTCCTCCCAGGATTATCGAGTAGTCCTATAGCATTGTAAATCACTACTCTATAGATGGCTTTTCTTCCTTTTTGGATATTGCAGTACCTTCTCTTCATCTCTAATGTTCTGAAATATCATAAGGATGTGTTTTATTGTGACACTAAATTTGTTGTGTTAATTCATTTGGATAGCCTGTTCCAATCTGGAAATTCCTGCCCTTTAGAGCTTTGGGAATTTTCTTATATTCTTTCCTTGATAAGTTTCCTTGGTAATTTTATTTGTACTCCCTTCCTTTTTCTTTCTCCATTTTTTTATACTTCTTTATTTACTGCCCTTTTTATTCTTTTTCCCACTTTTTGATCTTCTGTTAAATGATCTGGGAGTTTCTTCAGTTTTATCTTTTCATCCATCTTTTGAATTTTAAAATTTATTTTGATTTTCTTGTTTAAATTCTTTTTTTTTTTTT